TACTTTTAAAGAGTCCTCTCCTGCTGATGTTCAGGTGTATATCAGTATGTAGTGTCTCTACTTTAAAGAGTCCTCTCCTGCTGATGTTCAGGTGTATATCAGTATGTAGTGTCTCTACTTTAAAGAGTCCTCTCCTGCTGATGTGCAGGTGTATATCAGTATGTAGTGTCTCTACTTTAAAGAGTCCTCTCCTGCTGATGTTCAGGTGTATATCAGTATGTAGTGTCTCTACTTTAAGAGTCCTCTCCTGCTGATGTTCAGGTGTATATCAGTATGTAGTGTCTCTACTTTAAAGAGTTCTCTCCTGCTGATGTTCAGGTGTATATCAGTATGTAGTGTCTCTACTTTAAAGAGTCCTCTCCTGCTGATGTTCAGGTGTATATCAGTATGTAGTGTCTCTAGTTTAAAGAGTCCTCTCCTGCTGATGTTCAGGTGTATATCAGTATGTAGTGTCTCTACTTTAAAGAGTCCTCTCCTGCTGATGTTCAGGTGTATATCAGTATGTAGTGTCTCTACTTTAAAGAGTCCTCTCCTGCTGATGTTCAGGTGTATATCAGTATGTAGTGTCTCTACTTTAAAGAGTCCTCTCCTGCTGATGTGCAGGTGTATATCAGTATGTAGTGTCTCTACTTTAAAGAGTCCTCTCCTGCTGATGTTCAGGTGTATATCAGTATGTAGTGTCTCTACTTTAAAGAGTCCTCTCCTGCTGATGTTCAGGTGTATATCAGTATGTAGTGTCTCTACTTTAAAGAGTCCTCTCCTGCTGATGTTCAGGTGTATATCAGTATGTAGTGTCTCTACTTTAAAGAGTCCTCTCCTGCTGATGTTCAGGTGTATATCAGTATGTAGTGTCTCTACTTTAAAGAGTCCTCTCCTGCTGATGTTCAGGTGTATATCAGTATGTAGTGTCTCTACTTTAAAGAGTCCTCTCCTGCTGATGTGCAGGTGTATATCAGTATGTAGTGTCTCTACTTTAAAGAGTCCTCTCCTGCTGATGTTCAGGTGTATATCAGTATGTAGTGTCTCTACTTTAAAGAGTCCTCTCCTGCTGATGTTCAGGTGTATATCAGTATGTAGTGTCTCTACTTTAAAGAGTCCTCTCCTGCTGATGTTCAGGTGTATATCAGTATGTAGTGTCTCTACTTTAAAGAGTCCTCTCCTGCTGATGTTCAGGTGTATATCAGTATGTAGTGTCTCTACTTTAAAGAGTCCTCTCCTGCTGATGTGCAGGTGTATATCAGTATGTAGTGTCTCTACTTTAAAGAGTCCTCTCCTGCTGATGTTCAGGTGTATATCAGTATGTAGTGTCTCTACTTTAAAGAGTCCTCTCCTGCTGATGTTCAGGTGTATATCAGTATGTAGTGTCTCTACTTTAAAGAGTTCTCTCCTGCTGATGTTCAGGTGTATATCTGTATGTAGTGTCTCTACTTTAAAGAGTCCTCTCCTGCTGATGTTCAGGTGTATATCAGTATGTAGTGTCTCTACTTTAAAGAGTCCTCTCCTGCTGATGTTCAGGTGTATATCAGTATGTAGTGTCTCTACTTTAAAGAGTCCTCTCCTGCTGATGTTCAGGTGTATATCAGTATGTAGTGTCTCTACTTTAAAGAGTCCTCTCCTGCTGATGTTCAGGTGTATATCAGTATGTAGTGTCTCTACTGTGACATGTCTCCATGCTTAATGTTCAAAAAGCTCTTTATTTTCCAGTCTGCTCTGATTGGTTAGCTGGCCGGTTCTGTTGTGATTGGTCAACCGCTTAGAGATGTCCCGCCCCTTAACTTATCACGTACAATGTGTTGGAGCGCTAGCCAATAGAAGCGTGAATGTTAAAACCTTCTTACTTGTATGTAAAAGCGCTTTGATGGGTCGTATTGACAGGAAAAGAGCTGTGCAAATGTTGGTCAATCTACCATTTACTTTACTTTACTGATCTGGGTTTTGGTTCCCTCTCACACAGATATGTTGACGATGGGAGGATTTTCAGAAGGATTTAGGAATAGTTGAAGCAACAGCTATCTGTAATAATAAAACTAAATAGAAAAAAGGAACCTGGTAACAGAATGAAGTCGTGTTGAGTCTAGTGGAGTTGAGTTAAACCGAACCAGGCAGGGGAACTGAGGCATTAGTGTCAGACATTAGTGAGGTAACTGTCTTCTCATTTAACTCCTGGCAAGAAAAGGGTATTTTCCAAAGGGTTGAAGTGTTGCCTTAAAGCAAGAAAAGACCTGTGGGTGCAAACAAGTAAAGATAATTATTCAAGGAGGAAGAAAAAACTATTATTTCCAGGTGAACAGATGAGACATAACGACTGATTAATTCACGTCATCAAACAAACATGCATCAGGATCATCGTTACAACTCAGACTGTCATCGTGACAGAAGAAAGTCTCTGTGCATTGTTCACACTGTGGGTAATGTCCGTTGATACTGAATAACGCAATGTAAAGGTGTAACCTCATGAAAACAATGCTCTCATTTGAACTAACGCCATCCTAACACTGTGGTAACACGCAGTTTCAACGCAGGAGAGGATAACTCAACGTGAGAGGAAGTGACATCATTGTGTTCACGTAGGAAGGCCTGTTTGGTGGTCAGACACACACACACACACACACACACACACACACACACACACACACACACACACACACACACACACACACACACACACACACACACACACACACACACACACACACACACACACACACGGAACTGACTCACAATGACGGCTGTGTTTTAAGGCTTTGCGTTTCTGAGATTGCTGTAATAGTGGAAATCCAGGTTTGTTGTCATCTGTGTTCAGTGTCTCATACACAAAAAGACAACCACAAATTAAGTTATAGCATCTGTTGTTTTGGAATAAAACCAAAGCTATTTCATGGAGTTTTAGGAAGTTTATGCAAGAGAACAAGTCCAATGTGTGTTATCAGAATCCTTAAGATTGGCTTACATCTTGTAAAAGGTGATTTCCGCTTTTTAGAGCATCACTGATGTGCAAAGACTGTCGAGTAGGACGGTTTCAATGTATGAATTACATACACATTCATACATTGAATGGCCCTGTCAGGTGTGTAAAAGAGGAGAAAACTTAAAAAGAGTTACAGCTAGATTTTAACTTCATTTTCACAGTTTTTGTCCCATCCAAATCCCATCATGTAGATACGTATATTACATTTTTGTACAGACTTCTTTGGTTTTCCCAATGACTTTATTTACATTTATAAAAACAGTACAAAGCCAATTTTATGACATGCCACCAAATCAGTGATCAGAAGTTTTGAAGCAGACAATTATCTCTTTGTAGTGCAGACTACTGAAGCCATATTTTAACTTAGGTCAAGTTTTGAATAGATTTTTTTGACAGAACAAACACTTTGAACTTTGTCCTCCATTCCTTACATTAGAAGATATCAGGAAGGGATATTTCATGGTAAGCATGAACCTGAATAATGATCACACAAAGCACAAGTTGTATCAGTGTTTTATTTATTATTTGTCTGAAGGTCCTTCTCGAGGAGACTGCAGCTCGCTCTACTTCTGCATTTCATTTCTTGTGGAGAAATTGTAAAGTTATGTACGGGTTGTTTTCTCTTTCCTGCCACATTAGATTAAGTCCAATACTATTAAAACTTGCACAGAGCGTAGGCCTATACAGCCTCTATAAGTGTCACAGTAAACACACTGAGGGTCAACTTAAATGTCCATTAGACGCAAGAAGGGAAGATTATAAGATAGCTTTCTTATTGACTATCAGACTATCCAAGTTTCGGGAGTTTGCTGAGTTTTGCGTATTCTTGCTCTGCTGTTAGATACAGTTGGCTGCTTTTTTTTAAATTGTATGAACCCAGTAGTAGAGATGAAATGCTGCCCCCTATTTCCATGGTGCATTACACATTACTCCTTTAAAGGATGTGGGAGATATTGAAGGATTACTTCAACATTTTGGGAAATAGGCTTACTGTCTTTCTTGCTAAGAGTTAGATGATAAGATTGAGTGGCACACATTTAACTTAAAATACCTAAATTCGGTGTGGAGTAAAGGCGTGGACCTACATTTAAGGTCAGCACAGCGTATTGAGACATGAAAAGGGCTGATAAATGTTCAACAAGTAAACATGCGTGACTTTAAATGACTTTCATCATAGCAGCTACCAGCAGTGTGAGGTATTAGATGATCTTCCAGGAGTCTTAAAACCAACACATATGCTTTAAAGATGTAATCTATCTCCAAAGGAATGAGGGAAGGAGTGCAAAGCTGAACGCCTGCCAGGGACTTTTAAGCAAGTTCCAGTTTAGAAAACATTTTGATAGGATGTTGACATCATGCATGGATAACTCTTTACAAACCGCCGAGAGGAATGTGTTTAATCTCAGGCTGCTGTCAAACAACCCCGTGTGTCATATTTTGGCATCACATCAATAAAGATTGGTGAATTATTTGATTGAATTGATGCCCCTGTTCTCAAGCTTCCTATCGCTTATTGGGGTGTCCTATTCCATATGTCTCCACCGCGTCTCATGATTGTATCTGTATTTTCATTTAACTTGTGAATAAATGAAATGAAACGAAAGTTAATTTCTTGCACATCAGTTATTTTGCATTCCAGTGTGTGAAGCAGTGTGTCTGCGGGGGTGTGTACGGGCAGAAGAGGTGGGTCACGTGTCTGAGTTTTGTCATTAACCCAACACTAACATGAGTTAATTAGAGTTAGAGTTAGAGTACTAATTCTAATATATGATCATTTGGACCTCAATCCCATTGTGTTTTCTCTCTACAGTCTGTAAACTGATTGGTATTGAGTTAATTTTGGCTCATGTAAAATGGTGACCGATTGGTAAGTACATTTTTGGCTCATCAGTTATTTTGCATTCCAGTCTGTGCAGAAGTGTGTCACCGGGGGTGTGTGGACGCGCACGGGGGGGGGGGGGGGGGGGTGGACGCGCACAAAGGGGTGGATCACGTGTCAGTGAGTTTCTGTTCTGTTCTGCCCGTTTTGCCCCGCGTGTAGCCATAAAGGTTCTCTCCACCTGTGCATGCGTTCATCCGAAACCGGTCCAGTCTGATCCGCGAGCCTGCCTCTGATTGGCTGCAGAGAAACGCGCTCTCAGCCCACCCACCGCTCGTTATACTCCCTGCTCTCTCTCTCTTTTCCTCGCATTGAGTCTGGGATCATGGCAGCTACGCACAGCGAGTACCGAGGAGGCTACCTGCGGAGCGACATGGAGGCCGGGCAGCACCGCTTCCACCCGGGATCCGAGCCCACTTACCGGCCGCTGCTCTTCGGGACCCTGGCTGTTATGGGATTGCTTCAAGTGGCCTCCAGCGTGGCGATCCTATTACACCTGACGGGATATCTGCAGGAGGTAGGCTCAACATGACTCTGTGTGTGCTCGGGAGGTTCATTTCCACAACACTTTCAGCTCACACACACACACTTTGGTTTGACGCGTAAATATTTATCTGCACACACTGTCAACACTTCTCTGTCGGAGACACTTTTGCGCAACTTTATAACGCCATAAAGTGACAGATAAGTTTTCCTGCTCTGTGTAAAGTAGGCGGTGTGAGCTCTTAGAAGTATGCAGAGGTGGAGAAGTACTTACTTGAGTAAAAGTAGAAGTACTCAGATCTTGTACTTGAGTAAAAGTCGAAGTACTCAGATCTTGTACTTGAGTAAAAGTTGAATTACTCAGATCTTGTACTTGAGTAAAAGTCGAAGTACTCAGATCTTGTACTTGAGTAAAAGTAGAAGTACCAGAGTGTAGGAATACTCTGTTACAGTAAAAGTCCTGCATTCAAAATGTTCCTCAAGTAAAAGTAGAAAAGTATTATCATCAAAATATAGTGAAAGTACCGACAGTAAAAGTAGTCATTGTGCAGATTGGTCCATTTCAGAATAATATATATGATATGTTTTATAATGATTGATCATGAAAGTGTTCTCAAAGCTGGTAAAGGTGCAGCTAGTTTGAATGACTTTGTATACTGCAGGGTAGCTTGTGGATTTACTCCAGGTGGAACTAAAGTCTGATTTAACACTTGATTAGATTTCACATCATTCATCCACATCTGTGAAGTAACTAAAGGTATTAAATACATGTAGTGAAAGTCCAAAGTAGCATAAAATGGAGATACTCAAGTAAAGTACAAGTCTCTCAAATTGTCCTTAAGTACAGTACTTGAGTACTTAGTTACTTCCCTCCTCTGGAAGTATGTGTAGACAAGTGGAGAAAAAAAAAAAGCCTCCACATCGAGCCAGTTCTGCAGTTTTGTGCGCCAAGATTTCCTGCGCTCTTGGTGTCTCTTTGAAGGCAGCAGGCAGTTAAACTCTGCTGTAAAAACACCCAGACTTCCAGATAACATCTCTAAAAGACACTCTTTACATTTTCCACGCATTAGTTATTTCACAGAGATATTTCCTAGCTGCTGCGTGGTGATAGCATCTCCGTCTGTTGTGCAAAGATGCCTTGCCAAATACAGATCACTTGAGTGCTGCAGTTTCTCTTGTGCATGTTTACATGGCTTATATCTGTAATTTATATGTGTCATAAATTGTAAACCTCTGAGCGTAAGCAAAGCTGTTCTGGAGGAGTCTGGGTTTCATCAAGCAGTGAAAGATACTGTCAGAAAACGTCTTGCTTTGTGTCATGTCATGCCTCTTGCAGGGCTGCGTGTCTGAGATCTTGTAAAATAACATTTAGGTTCAGCCGTGATTGTTTTTTTAAACTTGTTGGCGGTTTTGGAGTTGAATAATTGTCGTGTTTCAACAAGCCAGGATGCAGAGTTCACCTGGGGAGCATCTCTCTATCTGTGTTTGTGTTTTACATTTCTTTGGCATAAACACATGTGTGTGGTAGTAGATAGATATGCACCGGGTGTGAGCCAGAGGGAAATCAAATTTTAAAAGAGGACGAGAGAAAAACACGTTGTTTAATTATCCGGCTGTAATTGTATTTGTGTTTTAACACTTGCATGGATTTATCTGGTTATGTTATTGAAAGGCTTTATTGTCATATGAACAGTAGCTACAGTGTAGTTATGACAATGAAAAGTCCCAGGCTCCTCCAACAATGCAACATAAATATATTTAAGAACTAAAACACATTTTAAAAAACAATAAGATTAGTGCAAGAGGAGATGAGTGGGATCCGTCTTTGGTTGGTCAGAGTAAGAACTGACTCTTGGATAACCACGCAGCTTTTTTTTTACTGAAATCAAAGTCATATGGTAGCACTTTTAGCATGAGTCAGTGTGTGTGTGTGGTGTGTGTGTGTGTACTGGAGTTTGGCACTGTACCATCTTCATCCCCCAACACCTGTACAACTTCCTGGAGATGCTCAGCGCCGTGTCCGCATAAGAATGTGCTGACGGGAGCTTTTTTTTAATTATCCATCGGGAGGGCTGTGTTGGTGTTTTTGCGTGTAATCCGTTTCTTAAATTACTCTGACATGACAGCCCTGGAAATAAGAACCAAATGCCCCAAATCGCGTTGAGTTTCTCCTGCTGCGGTGCATCGCAGAGTGACATGTGGAAAATAACTTCACCTCGCACTCCCACAACTTGTCTTCCTGTAAGGTTTACAGAAATATTCCTCCCGCCCACACCTGTCAGGGAAACATCCTCATGACAAATTGAGCTTGTTAGGAATTGCATAAGTTTGCATTTCTGTGTACACTGACCCCTCTAACCTGTGTTTCTGTGTTTCTGTCTGCAGGTAGATTTGTCCACGGCTCCTCACCGACCCATACAGGTGAGTTTGACCCCTGGTTAACCCCCCCCCCCCCCCCCCCCACACACACACACACACACACACACACACACACACACACACACACACACACACACACACACCGTCCTCTCACACACAGATTGCATTTGAACAGGTTTTATTCCTGCCTGATAACCCCTGAAGCTGAATTTACGCCTCAACACTTCTTCTCTGTAAATTGATCTATCAATCATCGGCACTCAGATCTCACTGAAAACAGACTTTCATTGATGGACTGATTGTGTTTGGCTTGTGGCCAAAAGGAAGCTGTGGTGTAACAGAGCTGCGAAGCCAAAAATAATATCTCCGAGGGCCAACAGTTGCGAGATTTCAGACTCTTTTGAAGCATAGCAGGTATTTCCTGCTGTCGCTCACTGTTAAGGAGGAAGTACAGTGTCTGCACAAAGAGAGTTATGTTTAAAAAGAAAAACACCCCTGAACGTGGTGCAATATGCAACCATTATATAAAAATTCCCTTGTTGATCACTCGCATTGATACAGTTTACTTCTTATTTGTTTGTCTGAATATGCAAATAAGGAACAATCTTATTAAACATGTGCAAGTTTGCAGGCTTTTTGAGAACATTGCTTCAGTTCCTTGACATATTAGAGTCAACGTTTGTACAGTGAGGTTTGAGATATCTGTTTTTATTACTGGGGAAAGTACTGTCAACAGCCATAAAAAAAGAAATGTTGGCATGCTATTAAGATAAGTTTTAATGATGAAATATGCGACACCCTTATGTGTGTTTTGCATGATTTCTCTCCACTTGTTAAGGAGGCTTAAGTAGAAGTAGCTTAATAACTCAAACAATATTCACCCGGTTCCTCGCCTTAAAGTAGCAAAACAAAACGGACTATCATCTGCAACATTGCTCTGACAGAAATCCAGATTTTCCCATGGTTGTGTTTTCATTCCACACCACAGCTCCTGCAGAGCACCAACCCGCAGCTGGTCACACAGACCGCAGCAGCAAAAACACCTTTGATATTTTGATATGGGGTCAAGAAGCTTTTTCCTAAACGAGCTGCTCTCTTCCTGTCACTGAGCGCAGAGTAGTTTACTGCATCAACTATTAATGAGTCACTCTCTGGCGTCAGCGGTCGCAGAGAACTTCTCCAAAAGATCGCAGTAGCATGAGGGAGTTATAAAATATAAAATCTTAATTGTTGATGTCATGTATTTTTCTTTCTTATCCCTTTTTTGGAAGTCCCCACCAAGTCTTTCTTTGGCAAAGTTCTTGGCAACACCGTAGGAACCAGGAAGTAAAACAACACGGAATAAAAGGACTGCTTTGCTTCACTAGTGTTTGGTTTCCCATAACGCTTCAATTTCCTTTGAAACGATGTGTTTGTGTTTGCCCCGGGTATCCCCTGGTGGACTTCTTGCACAAACCACCCAGCCTGCGTTGGACTGAGGCTCTCATTGTGTCTCATTGTGTCTTTAGCCCCTCGGCCGCAGCTTTATGAGGTGTCAGGGTGACATGTAAGGTGTTGTTTTAACGTCTCTCCTCCGCTCACAGATCAGGGGATTTGTGAGCGAGCCGTCCTCCGTGGACAGCTGTCAGCTCTTTGATATGAGACAGGACCTGATCTGTGGTCAGTGTGTGAGAACATCATGAATCACACACTCGGATCTGTATCACAAGAAGGAGATCTGAACACAGATCTGCTCCGGTGGCCTGAGCGTTGTGTGTGAGAGGAGCTTTTGTTTTAGAGGAGCGCTCATCAGCACAATGGAAATGTTGACTGATCTGAGTGCAGATCACAGGCCTGCGTGCACTGTGGTATTCCAGCATGGGAAACTAGAGAGGGCAAAACCTGGAGAATTCTGTACGCTGACAAACTGCAATGTGTGTGGCTGTGTCGAGGTGGGATTGAAGCAGCACTCGCATGGTCTGAGGATCAACTCAAAAGAGGAAGACTTCTATAGTGAAGTCTTTATGATTCACTGGAATTATGAAAGTAATAATAATAATACAAATACACTTTGTTTTGCACCTTACAGAGTGCTTTCACATACTAACCCTAACCCACAGAGAGCAAGTGAATGAAATAGCGTCTAAACATAAGAACATTAGTAACACATATAAATACATAGAATAAGACTAAATAAAAAGTCAAATACGACGCATAAAAGCAATTCTAAAAAAGTGAGTTTTTAAAAGATCTCACAGCCCTGATATAGGTAGGTCTTAATGTCTTCCATTTTTGTAAAGCACTTTGAATTGCCTTGTGTTGAAAGGTGCTATATAAATAAACTTGCCTTGCCTTGCCTTGCCTTGCCTTGCCTTGCCTAGGTCGTTCCAAAGTAGTAATGGAAGAATAATAGCCATTGATTCCTAATTGAGCAAAACGCTTTGATGTTTGAACAAAATGTCTGCGTTGAGGAAGCAGCCAATCAAACTTCTTCAGTAGAATAACACCCTGTCTGCATTCACGCCGCTTCTTCACGGCAGTCATTTCTCTCCGTGCAGCTCGGTGGTTTTCACCGTGCCGCTCTTTAATTCTAGATCACACTGCAGATCAGAGCGCTGCCAAGCTGCAGCTCCTTCGTCTAAATAATCTCTTCTCGCTGGTTAAACAGGTATGGCGTGGTTTCGCCACAAATCAAGATAGATCCCACAATGTCGGGTCAATTGGGAGCGCCTTCTTAATCACTCTGTTGGCAGAGCCGTGTTTACTCTCGTCTCATTCCAAGACACTGCGCTATACACATGTTTGTGCAGGAAATTGTTTGTTGAAAGAAAGGAGAGTGCTAATCTTAGTCTGAGAGACGTGCAAATGTGTCTGGATTCTTTTGAGGTTTGTGTATAAATACTTCACGGTAATATTAGCACAGCGCAGGTGCACTATTGCAAAACCGTGCTAATTCAGAAGTGTTTGTGCTCCGAGGCGCTGTGTGTGTTTTCTTTAAGATGGTATGTCTCCATCATAATCAACACTTTCAGTTTCCCTGTCTGTGTGTTGTAAGTGTTGGCTCAGAGTTAGGGTGACATGACAGTTCAAGGAGATCATAGTTAATTACAGAGAAACCATAAAACAAGTAAAAACACCTTCAGGATATAATAAAAGCTTCATCAGTGGGGTGTAAATAATGATTTCGCTTAACTGCAATGAACCACATTAATTTGTATATGTTGCAGAAACATGCACACTTGAATGAAGATGTACTTATCTCTTCATTGTTGTGTGAAAGCCAAACTTAGATGTGTTGTGTGAGGGTTCGATGGTAGATAGAGGCGGCTGGTATTTTAATCTCTTGGTGCAGGAACTGTTTACATGCTTGGAAACCATGTTTTCCCCCCCGAGTGTATATGCTCCGTCTTGCCTGAGGATGACAGCCCGGCTCAGACACTGCGTGGCGGCTGAACGCAATCCAGATACTGTTTTTTGTGCCACATTCGTGAGAAGTGCAATCTGTCTGAAAGGTTACACTCACCAGGAGGCCGAGAACAACCACGGCTGGAATAAGAAGAGAGCAGGGAGCCAAAGAGGACGAATACAACTCTGACCTGCATTAAAGGTCCTTGGTTGCTGATTGGCTAATGGTTACACAAGCCAACACATCGTTATGACATCATAAAGTGGCCAAAATCTGATCAGCTCATTTTCAGACAGGTTTTTATAGAAATGGATCAGGACAAAAAGAGAGAGAATCTTTGTTCCTGAAACTTTCAGAGTCTCTTTCCACAGAGGGGACACATGTTGATGTAGAAGAGACATGAAGAAGAGGGGACACATGTTGATGTAGAAGAGACATGAAGAAGAGGGGACACATGTTGATGTAGAAGAGACATGAAGAAGAGGGGACACATGTTGATGTAGAAGAGACATGAAGAAGAGGGGACACATGTTGATGTAGAAGAGACATGAAGAAGAGGGGACACATGTTGATGTAGAAGAGACATGAAGAAGAGGGGACACATGTTGATGTAGAAGAGACATGAAGAAGAGGGGACACATGTTGATGTAGAAGAGACATGAAGAAGAGGGGACACATGTTGATGTAGAAGAGACATGAAGAAGAGGGGACACATGTTGATGTAGAAGAGACATGAAGAAGAGGGGACACATGTTGATGTAGAAGAGACATGAAGAAGAGGGGACACATGTTGATGTAGAAGAGACATGAAGAAGAGGGGACACATGTTGATGAAGAAGAGACATGAAGAAGAGGGGACACATGTTGATGTAGAAGAGACGGGAAGAAGAGGGGACACATGTTGATGTAGAAGAGACATGAAGAAGAGGGGACACATGTTGATGTAGAAGAGACATGAAGAAGAGGGGACACATGTTGATGTAGAAGAGACATGAAGAAAAGGGGACACATGTTGATGTAGAAGAGACATGAAGAAGAGGGGACACATGTTGATGTAGAAGAGACGTGAAGAAGAGGGGACACATGTTGATGTAGAGGAGACATGAAGAAGAGGGGACACATGTTGATGTAGAAGAGACATGGAGAAGAGGGGACACATGTTGATGTAGAAGAGACATGGAGAAGAGGGGACACATGTTGATGTAGAAGAGACATGAAGAAGAGGGGACACATGTTGATGTAGAAAAAACATGAAGAAGAGGGGACACATGTTGATGTAGAAGAGACATGAAGAAGAGGGGACACATGTTGATGTAGAAAAGACATGAAGAAGAGGATTTTGCATAATAGGTGACCTTTAAGAGAGACAGCCAAACAGAGCTGTGGTGAAACATTTCACAAACCATATCGTTGCTCCGAGAAAAAGTGTGTGTGTGTGTGTGTGTGTGTGTGTGTGTGTGTGTGTGTGTGTGTGTGTGTGTGTGTGTGTGTGTGTGTGTGTGTGTGTGTGTGTGTGTGTGTGTGTGTGTGTGTGTGTGTGTGTGTGTGTGTGTGTGTGTGTGTGTGTGTGTGTGTGTGGTGTGTGTGTGTGTGTGTGTGTGTGTGTGTGTGTGTGTGTGTGTGTGTGTGTGTGTGTGTGTGTGTGTGTGTGTGTGTGGGGTGTGTGTGTGTGTGTGTGTGTGTGTGTGTGTGTGTGTGTGTGTGTGTGTGTGTGTGTGTGTGTGTGTGTGTGTGTGTGTGTGTGTGTGTGTGTGTGTGTGTGTGTGTGTGTGTGTGTGTGTGTGTGTGTGTGTGTGTGTGTCACACAAAGACACTAGTGATGTTTGTTGGCCTCCATGTGTCGATCAGTGTTTGTTAAATTAGTTTTCTTTCTATGTTTTCTGCAGGAAGTGCAGACGGAGCCGGTGCTGGACGCTCTGAGAGACACGAGGAAAAAAGGACGCTGCAAACATCCAAAAGAGAGTCTGCCATCAGCGCATCTACCAATCAAAGCACAGGAGTTCTCCAAGAGTGAGTCCAATTAACATCCTGTAATGAATGCACTAGAAACACTTACCTGTCAATCACAATGAGCCTTTTCTGTTTGGGTCAGCTTTGGAGTCACGCCTCTCTGAATGAAAACGACTGCATCTCACACATTAGTTGTGCAGAGGGTAGTTATTTACAACTATTCACTGCCAGTTGAAGCTTCTAGATATCTATATTTTGCTGACATATTACTTGTTTAAAAGTAGATTTTAAAGTAATAATATGGTATAAAGTTAAAATATCTAACTTAACAATGACAAAAAAGCCCAAAATGTTCCACTAAAGGACCATATAATGTCCGCTAGTTAGAATGTGTGATACTTCCAACTCTAAACTGCATTATTACAAACACATTTTTCCATGTATGTACTTTATTGTATTATTATAGTAACAGTTTAATAGACCATTTAACCCCTTCAACCTTTATATTTAGGAAGCTTGTGATATAGAGCTGGGTTTCATCTTAAAAATGACTAAACTAGTGTCAATATTAGTGTACTAAAAGGTTACACAGATACCAATAGAGATTTCATCAGTTGTGTAAAATGCCAACTCTACTCCTACAGAAGTGATCAATACAGTAATATTTAGGCTGTGTAATTTGAAATATCTAAGCCAACCTTCTTAATCTAGCTTGTTTGTTATGGATTGTGTTTTATAGTGTTGTATTTTTATCATGCAGTCGTATTTCCGCGCTATGATAGGCTTGTGAGAATAGAGAGAAGTGATTGGTTAAGCTGGGCAGTGACGCCCCCGATCACTTACTGAGAGGAGAGAGAGTAGTAACGTAGGAATAGTAAATGAATGAGAAGAGACGGTCGTCCTGGTTGAACTTGTGCTGAGCTTCATTAGGGCTGCACAGTTCATTCAAATGTTATCGAAATTGTAATGTGAATGAATGCAATATCCAAATTGCAGTAAGCTCAATATTTAGTAAAGTTAGAATATGTATGTATGTATGTATATAAATATCTGAATTATATTAGTATTGTGGAGCTGCAGAGAAGTCCCGGCCTACAAAACGTATTCTACAGACTTAATAAAGACGTATTGTTGGGAACAGATCCTCTTAAATAATTACACCACAATTATAATGATCATTCCCTTTAATCACACTGTATCATCAATTGCAACATCACATCATTTGTATTAGTTATTTTACCTTAGTAACACAGCCCTTTATTTTATTAATAATAATAATAATACATCTTAATTTGTTTAGCAATGTTCATATACAGGGGGCATGTAAAAGAATAAGTGTGAAAAACATTAAAAGACTCTTTAAAGGGGGGGATGTCGCTTATTAAAGGGGACCTATCATGCAAAATGCACTGTTCGATGTCTTTTCTACATCAACATGTGTCGCCGCCGCGGTGTGTCAGAAAATAAAACCCTCTCTCTTTTCCTCCGTACCCACATCTCTAAAAACGGGGGAACAACGGAGCTGATCCAGATTTGCGTGCGATATAGACATGTTTTTTATATTTTTGTATATATCTGAGACCCATAATATATGCCTAAAAATAGCATGATAGGAAACCTTTAAAAGCTTGTCCATTAACATGTCCCCTTAGTTCGCCTCACTAATATGTAAGTGATGGACCAACACCTGAAAAACATGAAAAGATTAACCAAAGTTTGCTCTTCTCTCCGTCTAGAAGGCGAGCCCAAAGCCGTCACCATCGACTGGGACGAGCTGCACGGATACCGCAACAAGATGGGCTACCAGAAGGGCAAGCTGCTGGTGGAGGAGGCGGGTTTCTACTACATCTACGCCAAAACCTGCTTCCGCTACTACAACCTGGAGCTGGACGACGGCAGCCAGGTGGACGTCAGCAACCGGCAGCTCATCCAGTACGTGTACCACGAGAAGATCAAACAGAACAGCAAGTCAGCGCTTCTGATGAAGACGGGCAGCACCATGCGCTGGAACATCACCAGCTATAACATGTACTGCGCCCAGCAAGGAAGAGGGGTTCGTCTGGAGGAGGGGGACGCTTTGTACGTGACCGTGTCCAACGCATGGGTGCTGGACCCCGAGGGAGAAGGGACGTATTTCGGGGCGATAAAATTAGGTAATTGAGAGTTAAAAGACGAGAGGAGCGGACATGCTACTGAACATTTGCCAAAGAACCACTGTTAGTGATTTATAAGTGTTGATAAAAAGTGTCTTGTTGTTTTTGTACTTCACCAAATAGCCTTTGGAGCACTCGATGAGAAAAGACATGGAAATGGTTCAGTCCCCGAAAGAAAGTATATGACACACAGCTCTTAAATTCATCTAAAATAGCACTGGACTCTTTTTTTTATTATTAAGTATTGTGACATTTCAATACATTTCAGCTCAGATTACGACTTAAGCACCGATGTGTTTATGGACTAACTAAACAAACCACAAGGGAGAAACTTGGGAAGTCGGTTTGCTGGCGAGGCGCAAAGTGAGGAAGGATTTATCAATGTTGGAGAAAATGTCCGGTAGAAACACGGAGCATCTGCTTGTACTTAGCGGATTAGAACAGAATAAAAACAACAGGTTTGCACACGGCACTGATCACAAACGTCTTCCTGAAGAGTTCTGTACGTGTGAACGAGGAAGTGGTTAGTCTCTGATCGGAGTAACTATCACAACAGGGGATATATCCAGAGGTGGAAAAAGTATTCAGAGTCTTTACTGGGGTACTAATACCACTCTAAAAATACTCAATTTGAAGTAAAAGTACTGTAGTGACAATGGTACTTAAGCAAAAGTATTTAATACTACTCTAAAAATACTCAATTTGAAGTAAAAGTACTGCAGTGACAATGGTACTCAAGCAAAAGTATTTAATACTACTCTAAAATACTCAATTTGAAGTAAAAGTACTGCATCGACAATGGTACTTAAGCAAAAGTATTTAATACTACTCTAAAATACTCAATTTGAAGTAAAAGTACTGCAGTGACAATGGTACTAAAGCAAAAGTATTTAATACTACTCTAAAATACTCAATTTGAAGTAAAAGTACTGCAGTGACAATGGTACTCAAGCAAAAGTATTTAATACTACTCTAAAATACTCAATTTGAAGTAAAAGTACTGCATCGACAATGGTACTTAAGCAAAAGTATTTAATACTACTCTAAAATACTCAATTTGAAGTAAAAGTACTGCATCAACAATGGTACTTAAGCAAAAGTATTTAATACTACTCTAAAATACTCAATTTGAAGTAAAAGTACTGCATCGACAATGGTACTTAAGCAAAAGTATTTAATACTACTCTAAAATACTCAATTTGAAGTAAAAGTACTGTAGTGACAATGGTACTTAAGCAAAAGTATTTGATACTACTCTAAAAATACTCAATTTGAAGTAAAAGTACTGCATCGACAATGGTACTTAAGCAAAAGTATGATAAGGAAGATGTGCTTAAAGTTTTAGAAGAAAAGTACATGTTGCAGAAAAAACTCATAACATATTTAAATACTTTAAAGCAAAAGCAGTACATCTTCACATTTAAGAAGCTGCCGATTCATTTTGTGTTAACACACTCGTGCTAGTTTCCTAAATGTAATGTTGGATGGTTTAATCTATACCAAAACATCTTATTTGAAGAGTTTTTCCTAATTATTGTGTGTCAAAATCTACAAGTAAAAAGTACAATATTGGCTTCCAAAATGTAGTATATTAGAAGAATAGTAAAAGTACCTCAAAAGTGTACTTAAGACCAGTACTTGAGTAAATGTACTTAGTTACTTTCCACCACTGGTTATATCACCCTGAGACCACCGTTCATAGTTTAATATGATTCACTGTTTTTTAGCAACAGATCAGATTAGTTTTGCTCCAAAAACTCATTTCTCTCCACTTCTCAGTCTAAAGAGTGAACTGCTTGATTGAAGGCAATTACACGACAATGTCATTTTGAACTAAGGAGGAAATGACATGTGTTTGATATGTTTATGACGATTGAAAAAAGAAAAAGGGATGCAGATAGCTGGCCTGTCTGACCATCAATGACATGAATAGACTGTTGTCTTCTTAAACTAGAGGAGCCAAATTGACTTTGGTTCATCTTTTAACTTAAATTTTGTTTTTCATTTGGCTCTTCACCGAGGTAAATGGGAATATGCACTAAATATTTATTTATTAGCTATAGAAGTACAGAGACGGGTCATTGTTAAAATGACCTCTCGTCTGTGTGACATCCATTATGCAGCACTTAGAGGAAATAGTAGACACGCTTTTTGTTATTAAAACACAGGGGCTTCATTTTAAATTCCATATTTATGTATCTTGATTTTTTTGTTGACAATTCTGTGTGCACTTGCCTAGCCAAAAGCAACATGGACATCATGTTTCTTCTACAAGATTGTAGCATACCTGTAAAATCTTCATCTGATTTCCATTCAATGTTTTTTTTTATTTATGTAATGTATGTTTTAATAAAAAAAAGTACTTTTGTAACGGCGTTTCCTGTGTTTTGACGTCACCGTTTTCACTGAACGGGCCACCCGGAGTGTGATGTGTTTGTGATGATGATCTGTACAATCTTTAATTTAACACCAGTATGTCATCACAGAGATAGATTGTATAGAAAGGCCGCCCACTGCTACCTCACAGCAGACTTTTGGACCGCCATCATGTAGAATAAACAGACTGCATGATGGGAATAACTAGCTTTAGGTAATGGATTAACGGTAACAGGAGAAAGTAATCAGGATACAAGTTACAGTTGTAGCAGGATTACAGTGTTACTAAAAACCTAAAAAGAGCATATTTAGTTTGTTGTAAAAGGATCAGATTATGGCAAAAATCATAATCTCGATTATTTGGGTCAATAATTGATATCACGATTATTAAAAACGATTATCCATTTACTTTGAAAACATCAATCTATTGGAGAATTTATTTTTTGAACAGTATGTTTTGAACAGTTTATTACCCTGAACTTTAAGTATAATTCAACTGAAAAACCAATAAAAAAAAAAGTAATAATAATAAAAAAGTAATCGTTTTATTGCGATTACGTTGTTTTCGTAATCGTTGCAAGCCATAATCGTAATTGCGATTAAAATACGATTAATTGAGCAGCCCTAGATCAGATTGTATTTATTCTTTGTTAGCTGTCCTGCTCTGTCGCTGCCAGCATATTGAACACAGAAATGTTGAGTACCCCAACGTTTGATGTTAGAAATGTATAGTAGGGTCCCCAGCACATAGAAACTGCCGGATGCTAACTTGCATACTGTAGGTTGGGCTACTTTCACAATTAGCATATGCAGACAATAGCTAAAAGATGGCTAATCCGATTTGGACGATTTCAGACTGGTTTTGGAGGTATATTGAGGATGCTGAATCCCTTTCTGATATGTTTAGGATACACAATGGCAGCTTTGAGTCTCCTAAAACTTTAAACTCAACTCAAAATTCATAAAAATCAGTCCAAAGGCAATATGGCCACTTTCTGCCATTTTTTATCCTGAAAATGTCCGAAATGGACTCAGCGTCCTCAATAAACCACTCCAAAAGGGTCCAAATCGACCAATGCTTTTCTATTATCTGCATAGGCTATAATGCTAATTAAAGCAACTTATGCTAATTGTGCAAATTGCCCAACATATGCAAGTTATCATCCGGCAGTTTCTATGTGCTGGGAACCCGTATTATACATTTATGTCATAAAACGTTGGGGTACGCCTACTGCCTGAATCTGCTTTATGGTTTTAACTTTCTTTGGTTCATTTGTCCTTCTTTTAAAGTCACTAGCTGAACCTATATGTTCATAAAATAGTGTGTGAGCTTAGCTGTGTGTGTTAAACTAAAACGGAGCATTTTCTGTCAGCTCAGATTCTATTCCTGCTTCTTTAAACTGTAGTATGTGCTCATGTGTTTCAGTGTTGGTGTATAGCCTACTGCCTGAATGTGCTTCATGAAAGGCAGGTTTTTCAGAAAGTTATCAAGTGACATTACTTTGTTGTATTCAGATTGGGTTCCTGATTGTTTCACAGGTAAGTTATTTCATTTGTAACCTTCCTAACCCTGGGAACAACACAGATCATTTCCTCACTCTGCTGTAATGCATGATGTGAGTGTTTTTGATCACTGTGGCGGCGGGTCTCCCATGAAGCCCCATGGCGCGTGTTAGAGGAGTTTAAAGACCAAACAATTCCTCTATTGTCTGTGTTTGGGCGTTCACACGTCTGAGCCGGGACCTCACACAGCTGCAGATCATTGTTACGAGCTGTAATCAAATCTGAGCTTTGTGGAGAAAAACTTGGCTGAGGTGCAAAAGGAGCTGATTGGTTTTGATCAGTGTTGGAAGGTATTTATATACCTTCAAACTCCTTCACTCAAGGAATGAACTTAAGGAGGGGTTCCCCTTTCCTATAGTGTGTTCTATAGGTTTTAAAGTAGAGACACCACATACTGATATACACCTGAACATCAGCAGGAGAGGACTCTTTAAAGTAGAGACACTACATACTGATATACACCTGAACATCAGCAGGAGAGGACTCTTTAAAGTAGAGACAGTACATACTGATATACACCTGGACATCAGCAGGAGAGGACTCTTTAAAGTAGAGACACTACATACTGATATACACCTGAACATCAGCAGGAGAGGACTCTTTAAAGTAGAGACACTACATACTGATATACACCTGAACATCAGCAGGAGAGGACTCTTTAAAGTAGAGACACTACATACTGATATGCCTAAACCTAAATTTAGCAGAATATGTCCTACTAAGTTCTTCTTCCACTACTGGAAAGCAATAATACCTTTTGGGACCATTTGTACCAAGAAGAATGTTTCATGCAAATAAACAATACTTGCACTTGCAGTTTTGCAACGGCACAAACAGCTGTGGTGTCCAAAGGGCTTCTCACTTTCAGATTGAAATAGCTGAAGCCATGAGTGTAAACAATGGACTTCCGCAGAGTGCCACCCTTCAGAAGGCACTTGGTTTCTCAATGCTTGGCGCTGAACAGAAACCATTAAAATGTGTTGTGTCAGTAAACATTATGGGAAAGCTTGGCGTGCACTGGACCCCCACCCCCGCCCCCGCCCCACACACACACACACACACACACACACACACACACACACACACACACACACACACACACACACACACACACACACACACACACACACACACACACACACACAGAAAGAGGTTTCACTTGCTTGCTGCAGTCTAATAAAATAGGCCCATTTGGCAGCAGTGCAGAAGTTACCGGCTTGTTTTATTGCTCACACATGTAAAAACACAGGGGGCTATGAAAAGCAATGGCCCAATCCATGTCGGAGCATGGGTTTAAACCATTACAGGGAATAAAATGGATTGCTGACTTGTGTTTTTGCTCCTGCCGGCATGCCTTCAGATATTCCATGACGGTCTGTTAGAGCTTTAATCATGTCTTCTCCGCCGCATCAGACATTATTTCACAGCGAAGAGGTGGAGCTGTTGATTCAGAAAAACAAAGTCATGTGTTGGAAAATATATCAGGGTGTTTTCCCCCAATAAGCAGCACCAGAGGCATGACTATAGAATTGAATGCCATTAGCTTAACTATGGGTGCTTGGCTTTATGGGGCCCTGTGGTTTGGAGGAAATAGACGTTTTACAGAACAGCTGGAGGCTTTGTTATGTGCCGTCAGGTTGCTTAGCGTTTCGCACGCTTACACACATGTACATCTACACATACCATCTCACACACACACACACACACACACACACACACACACACACACACACACACACACACACACACACACACACACACACACACACACACACACACACACACACACACACACACACACCCCTCTGCTGAGTCAGCAAGGGTAGCTATTTTCACAGGCTTGGTCCTCGCCCTTTTGTCTTCCCCCCCGATATAGCTCACATGTCTCCTGTCTTTTGATGTCTGACGTTTTTACCACTTGGCTAATGCTAACATTAGTGTTATTAAAACAATAACAGAGTGAGATTTATAGGGGCTACGCTGCAGACGCATGGGCGTGAGATAGCAGGAGGTTATTACTGTAACCATGAGCTGTCATCAGAGAGTGTATGCCAGACTGTCTGTGTGAAAGTGTGTAGGTCGACCAGCCATTAGAGGGTTATTCCATTAGAGGACACACCTATCTGCACATTCATAACTAATATAAAGGCCGTCCTAATGGGTCACTTTGCTCAGGCTCAAATCCATGTTGTCTTTGTCATTAACTCATCAAATTCCAATTTTAAATACATCTCAATGATTAGGTTATCCCACTTTGAATATCAGTGACCCTGCTGACCTTGTTCTTGTACCCATTTGACCTGGCTTCAGCACCATGGATAGCACATCCAAAATCTGACCTTCCATGTCTTCAACAGTTACGCCTTAAATGGATAGTCTGGATGTATAACTAGTGTATAATATATAATAAATGGTTGCAACAAGCCTACGTTTTAGGAAACAAAGAAATGCTGCTGTATTTTAGCCACCAAAAATCAATAATTGCAATATTTACAATGTTTTCACAGCTTCACCTTGCTGTCAGACAGACTTTTTCGACGGGGAAAGCTCAGGGTTAGTTTGAATGAACCCGAGTCACAATAATGAGGTTTGGTGGATTTGAAAGGAGCATATATTTAAAAAAATCCAGATCCACGTTGGAAAGGGCTTGCCACGAACGAGCTGAGAACCAAAATGCAACACACGGGAGACCAGGGAAAGTCGGTAGCCAGCTTTATTGAAACTTGTTTCCACGGAAAAGTTCTGGTGTAAGACAAACCGGCAGACGGTAGGCAAAGGGCTGGTCGGGGACAGGCGAGGGTTCCAGGAGTAGGCAAGACGGGAGACGCAGGTACAGGCAGGGTCAGGGAGCAGGGAGGCAGAATAGTCCGGGTACAGGCAGGGTCAGGGAGCAGGGAGGCAGAATAGTCCGGGTACAGGCAGGGTCAGGGAGCAGGCGAGGCAGAATAGTCTGGGTACAGGCAGGGTCAGGGAGCAGGCGAGGCAGAATAGTCCGGGTACAGGCAAGGTCAGGGAGCAGGCGAGGCAGAATAGTCCGGGTACAGGCAAGGTCAGGGAGCAGGCGAAGCAGAATAGTCTGGGTACAGGCAGGGTCAGGGAGCAGGCGAGGCAGAATAGTCCGGGTACAGGCAGGGTCAGGGAGCAGGCGAGGCAGAATAGTCCGGGTACAGGCAGGGTCAGCGAGCAGGCGAGGCAGAATAGTCCAGGTACAGACAGGGTCAGGGAGCAGGCGAAGCGGTCAGGGACAGGCAAGGTCGAAACCGGGAGAGCAATCTGGGAGGTAATGCTGGAAAGAACTGCATATCTGCGAAGTACGATCTGGCACTGAGGTGAGAGTGAAGAGGGTCTATATACTAGGGGAGCTAATGGGTGTAACAGAGTATGTCAAATAGATGAGTGAGGGAGCAGACTGTGACAGGGCTGTCTGACAGT